CTTAGAGCAGTCAGGGGATCTTTTGAGGGTGTGTGAGATGAGGTCTCTGATTCTGGTGCTGGCAGGCAGCTTCAGCAAGAACACTGACACAACAAATGTTCAGATGAAGCTCTGAAACTCATTTGAGGATAAGTCACTCTTGAGGCTGGAGCTGCCCAGGTCCCTGGGGAGGAACACTGCAGCCATTATTCAGTAATAATTTTCCACTCTCCACAGGCAGCAGCTTCTCAGTGATTTACCAGCAGACTTTGTACTGTTTTAATATATGTTTACAAAGGAGGAGAGCAAAAATCCTGGTGGATGTTGACACAACTGTGATACCACTGAGTTTATAGCTTTTCCTGAAGGAATGGCATTTTCCCTCCTAAGGTCTCTATGTTAGGGGGTTTGGCAAATTATGTTAGAAAGATCATTTCAGAAGACTTTGGGCCTGTTCTGCTCCCTGCACTTGTACATGGACTGACATGTGGCCTCAGTAGAGCCTCCTCAGGTGTGTTACAGGTGGCCTGGCCATGGACAGGCTGGATAATGGTCTCCAAAGAACACTTGGAAGCCAAAGTACCATATTGAGTAGGTGCTGTGTCCTCTCAACCCACCTGCCCTCTTGCTGCCATTGCTGTGGTGCCTGATGAGGGAGGTTTGCAGTTCCCTTAATGGGAGGAGGTTTCTGTGCTTGACTGCAGAGAGAAGTGGTTTGAGACCTAACCCAGGTGTGTCAGGAGCCAGGAGCTCTGCTGGGGAGGCACAGCTGGCCTGCTCTTCTGGCACTCAGAGGGTGAGACTGTTGAGGCCCTGTCCTGGCTTCAGGAGGAGACATCTCTGGGTTTGAGGCAATGCTGTGCTATTCAGAAAGGTAACATTTGAGCCATTCACCTCAGCCATGCAGTGTCAGTAAGATGTGCTTGGATGCTGAGCACTTATCAGAAATACAGGTCTCCCCTAGGCAAGGCAGGCTCACAAAAGGGTAAATCTGTCCCAGGGCACAAAGCTTGGGAGTCACTGGTCTGCTGGTGACCAAACATCCTCCTTGGCAGTGCAAAGTGATGGACTGAAGATGCATCATTCTTCATCCATTGTCTTGTTTTACATAGAAAAGGGAAGGGAAGGGAAGGGAAGGGAAGGGAAGGGAAGGGAAGGGAAGGGAAGGGAAGGGAAGGGAAGGGAAGGGAAGGGAAGGGAAGGGAAGGGAAGGAAGATTCCTAGCCCCAAACATAAGCTCACTGCTCCTTGTTTAAGAAAAGGCACCAGACTAGGTCTAGATGTTTTCTACTGTCTCTCTCACAACACCAGGCAGCAGTTTGTAAAAGAGAAGGTTTGTGCCTTGGTCACATCCTTGCCTGAGCAGAACCCAGCCTCCCTGTGAGTGCCAGGCAGCTGGGCCCCTGCCAGTGCTCTCTAACAAGCACCATGGGAGCAGCCTCTGGGACTGCTGTGCCTTGTACTGCCTTGGCTGCAGCACACCTCTGACAGTGCTGCAAACAAGCAGCAGCTAAATATGATTCACATCTTATTATCCATGTAAGTGCTGGTACTTACTGTCTCCAAGGTCCCCTGTGCTAAATAAATTCAGGAATCTGAAGGCAAAAATGTCATTCTGCAATACTTCTTCCAGGAACAATTGCTTCTTGCCTTTCAAGGAAGGTAAGGAGCCTGGTGGGGCTCTGGGAGTTTTGAAGTAATGCCCATTGTGAGAGGTAAAGAGCCAGCAGAGTCCAACATTTGCCACCTGTGCCCTCGTGTCTGCTGCCTCTGAGGCCTGTCCTTTGCCATGCTGAGCACAATGAGACAAGAGGGCTGTACAGGACTAGGATCATTGTAGTGGCATGTCTTATGGGACAGTATCACCCCTGGGCTTCTGTAGAACAGTGACAATTCTACCACAGAGAGAGGAAGGGGAAAAGTGGAATTGCACTGAAGCCAGGGAATTGTTGCCTAACAAAAGAAAATCCTAAACAAAACAAGTAACACAAGCGAGCAACTTTTTTCCTTTATTTATATGGAGAAGGCTTTTCATGAAGAATGTGGTTAGAATTTTTATATATTTCCCCTGAGAAGCTTAGCACTGAGTGTTAATAGACAGATCAAAGAGCTACTTAGCCACAGGAGCCAGGGAAATTGAACCAGGGCAGCAAAATAAAAATCAATCCAACTTTTAGTGTGTTTAATGTGATTTGGTTCAGAACTGACTTCTGCATGAGTACTTAGCAAAGCTTAAGATCATGAGAAGTTTGAGTTCCTTGAGCCAAACTCTGTGTCCCACTCGCTTTGCTTTTTGTAAAATGACAAGAACATTTCCTATCTACAGAGTGACTTCAGATGTTCCCTGCCTTACCCACTGGTTTTACCACCCTCTTTTGCCTTATTGTTTGCAAGATTGTTCCACAGGATCACATACTGTAAAGAAAGGAGTGATAGCCTGCTCACCATTTCTGGGTCCTTGACTTGTGAGTAATGCTGTCCTTCTCAAAGTATGCTGGTAAAAATTTTATCTTTGATTGTGCAAGGGACATTAAACCTGTTCTAAGAAGGTTTGAATGTTACAAAAGAAAAAAAAAAGAGAGAGAAAAAAAAAGAATAAAAGGAGGGGAAAGATATTTCTTGAATCCTTCAGATCATAAACTCAGCCTGACAAGGATAAAGATAAAATACAGATTTCTCAAGCAGTTCTCCTGGGGCTGGAAGCCAACACAGGGTTTTACTGGTAGGAGGTAGAATCTCCCATTTCTTCCTTGCTGCATCTGTGGGCAAAGCCCCACATTTCAAGATCAAGTCCCAGATTCAGTGAGCCATGCAGGGCCATTGAATAGTGCAGGCAGCGAGCCAAATTTTCTTCTTATCTGGAAGAAAATTTCCTCATTTGGAAGAGGCTCCTTTTTTTCTGTGAAACTACAAGTTGGAAGAGGTGCTTTTTTTTTCCTATGAGACTAAATTTAAAAAGCAGCAGCTGTCTGCAGCTTTTCTAAAGTGCAGAATATTAAAATAAACCTTAAAAAACCATGTATGCAACTAAGTATTTGGGAACAAAAAAAGAAACATTATTAATGCAGTTCAACAGTTTAGCATGATAATCTCAAATTTGGGCTTCAGTCATCCTTTCTTCCCCAGTTTAAGATTATATAAAAAATAGGCCAGCATTTATGTATTTATTTTTGAAAATTAAGAGATGCAAAAGTAAATAAGGAAAATGTAAACTCAGCTACATTAATATCCAGGACAGGACTGTGGTTATATAACAAAGTGGGCAAAATATTTTGCTTATTCCAAAATTCACTTTCCTCCTAGGGTGTTTGTTCCTTAGGCTAGGAACAAAACAGATTCTAAGTCTTTGCAGCCTGGAGAACTACTTGTGTTCCTCTTCTTTGTAGCAACTTTTTCCATACTTGCAATAATTATCATCACTCCCCTCAATTATTTCTTCTTTACATTAAACACACTTATCTTTTGATCTTTCCTCCCTCTTCATGCCAGGACAGCTTTTATGCACAGGGGCAAACCGCTGTCTCTATTAACCATGTATTGCAGGCTCCAGGCATTCCAGGGGCTTTAACTAGAGGGGATAATGCCTGACACAGATTTCACAGAGCAGCTTATTTTAGCTGCTCCTGTAAGACTCTGTATGGCATGAAATGTGCGTGATCTCATCTGATCTGTTTCTACAGAACAGATTAAAGGAAAAAAAAAAAGCAAAGCAACGCAGGCAAGGGATATTAGAAAAAAAGTTGGAGATGTAGGCTCCCTTTGTATCATAAAATAGCCTCTAAAACAGTTAATTACAGAGTCCTCATTAAGACAAGTCTTACAAGGTTGCCACTGTAGCCTGTCTTCCAAGAATTAAGAAGCCTGGGACCCATCAACAGCAGCATGACTTCACACCTTGTTTGACATCCAACATTTCCACTCCACCTTCCCAGGCAGGCACATAAAACTGGGAATTACTGTAAAGAACTTCACCACAGCAGACACGGGCCCCTGGCAAAGCAGCTTCCTCGCTGCCTCAAGGCTGATGCCTGGATAAGAGAGGCCTGGCACACAAAAACCAGGGTGTGGCTGAACAAGGGTGGGGGAGCCCGCCCAGGAAAGTTTAATATTCCAGAGGCACGGAAGCCTCTGAAGTCTGGGGAGCCACATGAAAAGCAGGTGCCTGTCAGGGCACATCGGGGAGAGGAGGAGAGGCTCAGCACCACAATTACGCATCGTCTTGTGACTGCTGTGAAAGCTGCCAGGGGCAGGACGCTGCTGCAGAGCTGATTGCTCCCTCGAGACACGCTGCAAAGTGCTGAGTGCCCAGAGCTGCAAAGGGAAAGCAAGTGAATCAGCAGGGGCAAGTCAGTCCCCAAGCACTGCTGTGGTGCAGGATTGTATCAGCATGAAGGTGATGCACCGAGATGAAAGCAGAGAGAGAGGTTCCTTTGTTTATAAACATACCAGAGACAACCAGGTTACTGTGGAAAGTAATTTTATTTCAGAATTCCACACACTCTGTCACAGATCATGCACTTGGACTTTCCCCTTTGCAAATCCACAGCCTCCAGGCCTGGGAGAGATGAGGCATCATCTCTTCACTTCTCACTGCTGTGCCCACATGCTAAGAATGAGGGCCCTGATGGCAGCTTGCCAGGGGGCAGAAAGCAGCCTCTTGTTTCCATAATTGCTTTTAAACACGAGAAAAGAAATCCATCTGACTTGAAAGATTAGCAGTGGAGCTCAGCAGCAGTGAAACCCACAGCTGAGCAAGTTGGTCCTCACCCTGTGGTTACAGGGAATGAGAAGACAATCTCATGGGAAGCTTGTGTGAGCTAAGCTAGAGCAGAACACAGGGAGACATTCTTGGAGCTGAGCAGCCACCAGCCCAATGCGTGCCCTGGGCCTCTTACAATCAATCTGTCTGAGCCGCTCTGCCAGGAAGGGGGCTTGGAGCTGCCCTTTCACATTCAGCTTTAGGTTCTCCTGCTCTGTGCTACAGATTTGGCCAGGAAGTAGCCCACCTGCAGGTAAGCCTGTAAATCAACACATGTACTGCATTTAATACTGAAAGGTGCCAGTTTGAAAGACTCTGCAACATTCTGTTTGACCCAAAGGCTGGGTGCAGCATTAGTGGTTGTTTCCTGCATACTTTGCCTACACCTTCTTCCCTGCTTCTATTGCCTCTTATACCTGACCTTGCTCTTAAAATATTCCTAGTTGCAGTGTCCCTGTGACCCATCACATCTTTGGCCTTTGTCAAGACTGCCACTGCCAGGGCAGCTATTGCCTGCTGTGGTGGCTGCCTGTGGGAAGTGATCCTTTGCCTCCTGAGAACAGGCTCATGGCTAGCTCAGAGGAGGGCAAAAGTGAAGGGAAGAAATGATGGAGATGGTTGATGCAAGTGAAGTGGAGCAGAGTCTACAAAAAAGGCAAAAAGGCAGCTTCAGTCTCCATTTGATACACAAATTGAGCTCAATAGCAGCAAAAAATGGTCATAAAATATTAATTCATTAGGTTGCCAGGAAGAAGTAAAAGCATTCATGTAAAAAATTATATATACAGATATGTATGTGACAACTGTTCTCAGGTCATATCTCACCTTTTCTTTTTTGTATCTAGAGTTTTAATCATTTCCAGCCACACTGCTGTTAAAATGTGAAGACCACAGTACTGGAGTCAGCACCAAGTGAGGGGTGACATCACACTGAAGAAATGAGCTTTGGGGGAACTCCTGACAACCCAGATATTTTAATATTTTTGTTGACCTTCAAGTAATTAAAAACAAGGGGAATTCCCCCCAGTAGCCTATAGGCTCCAAGTCTCATCTGTCTGCTTTTAGGGTAGAAAGGCTGACATCAGAAATGCAGTGGGGGGCAAGGTAAGGAAGAGGGGGAAAAAGTCTGGGAACCAGAGTGAAGAGCAATCAACAGTTGAACAACACTGACTGCTGCAAAACACAAAGTCATACAAATGGGATTCCTGTTAACCTTTGATAGACTATAGACTTTATATACACACACAGACTCCAAAGTACACATCTGGCAGTCTAGAAAATACCAGTACCCTAAAGATTAAATAATTTAAAATGCAACGTTGCGTTATCACTGTATACAGAATGCTGTCTGACACACTGGCTAAAATGGACGGATTGTCCGAGAAATTGCTCCCTCCCTCACCTCACCAGCACTGCCTCTAAAAAAAAACCCAGGGTGAAAGACTTCCCTCCGTGCTTCCACTCTTGAAATTCACCTTGAAACTTCTCTGTCAAAGATGGGGGAAGTCCTGAGAGGAAGGGAGGAGAAAAGGAAAAAAGGATTCCTGCTCCCTCCAAACTCTGCTGCTACAGTACTCCTCTCCACTGGCTAAGGAGGCTGGACAGCAAGGGTGAAAAAAGCTCCTACAGCAGGGAAAAGGCAAACATGTTTCTGAAACAATAGTTATGCTGGTCTTTTGAGATACACACAGAGCTCCACACTCGGGGGACACCTTCTCTCCCACTTTTTTGAAGACAGCAGGTGGCTAAATGCAGAGTATAAAGAGTCCACAGCCTGAGAGCAGCCAGAGACAGGAGTGAGCAGAACTGCACTGCCAACAGGTCCAAAGAGATGGAATGGGAAGGTGTGCCCTCACCAGCTTTCTAAGAGTATTTGTAAAATGAAAGCACTGGAAAATCAGCGCATGGGAATGAGGAAGGGGATGGACAGCCTCAGTTCTGGGGAGGAGACTAAAGCACGCAGAGCAGATGGCAAAGCTAATACATCCCTAAATGCCAGCTTTGTATATGTACCCTAATATCACTGTATGGGACAGAACCTTGCTGATGTCACCAGTTCAGTTCTATCACCTTCACAGCCTTTAGAGCTGGTGAGAATCTGGCTTGTGTGTGCTTATTCCAAAGCCCTTTGAGGCATGCAATCTTGTTTCCTCCTTCAGTAAACCAAAACAGCCATAAGCTCTTGGGGGAAAGATGAAAAAAAAAAAATCCCCATTCCCATGTGTGTCTCCCACCCCTCCCCTATAATCACCCTCTCTTCCTCTAGGCCAGAGACAACTGAAGAGCTGCCTTGTTCTCCGCTCCCGAGGCCATTCCCAGGAGATCTGGCTAGGCAGGAACAGCAAGCTCTGCTCCTTCAGCCTCATCACACAACCAGACCACAAAGGCTCCTTCCTCCCCTGTGACAGCCTCAACAACAATTGTCTGTACAGGATGTGGTGTCGCAGCAGACTGGACAAATTTTGGCCCTTAATCCTGACCCCAGCTTCCAAAGGATGAGAAGGCTCCATGGGAGCAGGAGCTGCGGGAATTCTTCAATTTCAAGCTCTGCAGCCCTAAATATTGCCAGTGTAATCATTATCCACTCAGAAATACAAAAACAACCCTATCCAAAATATCTCACTCAGTCTGCCCTGCATGACTGGGCCAAAAGGACATAAAAGAAAGAAAAGTGAGACAGTGTAGGACAGCAGAGAAAAAGAAACATAGGGCAAAATCAGGCTGGAGGAAATTAAACAACCTCAGTGCAAGTCTGCTAAAATCATCACTGGATTTACCAGCCCAGTTCCACCTTCTTCTTCAGACCAAAAAGGGTTTGCTGCAGTAAGTGTACTACAGAAGAAAGAAGTGCATAGTTTGGTTTATTTTTTTTTGGTAGACGCTAAAAACTCATCAGAATTTATGTGAAGATCTCAGAGCTGCAGTTTTAGCCTCTCCTCCCTAGCCAATGGGCACCTGTTGGGGCAGAGATGGTGGAAATGGACCAGTAGCACCAAGAAATTCAGTGGGAGCACCAACTCCAAAGCAGGAATTACTAATGAACCAAAAAGGGGGAGTGGTGAAGAGAGAGAGGGAGACAGGGAGAAGTGGAGGAGACATAATTCGCAGTAATCAAAGTCTGCATTGGCTGAACTCTATCAACACTTCCCTAGGTAAGGCCCCATTACGTCTGCAGCAAGACCTCTGGCTCCGACAGAGAGCTGTAGAGGGTGTAGCCCAACTCATCCACTTCTTCAGGGGTGAGCTCTGAGAACAAGTTCACCTTGGGGTTCAGGGCACTAGGGAGGACACCAGCCTCCAGGTGGCGGATCAGCCCCTTCAGGGCCTGCAAGAAGCGGTCAGCCAGCATGTCCTGGGACCAGTCGGACTCCTCCTGGGACAGGTGCAGGATGACGTTGGTGAGCTGGCTGGCAGTGAGGTGTCCCAGAGCCGGGTTCAGCTTGCACACTGCTTTGAAGATCTTGAGGCACAAGCAGCGGCAGCCAGAATCCCCCTGGTCCAGGGCGCGGAGGCGCGCCGTTTCCGCCGGCCGCAGGCTCAGGCGCCACAAGTTGTCGTTCTGGGCCAGTCGGTGAGGTTTGGCAACGAGGACGATGTCCCCCAGTGTCAGGGATGGCAGAAAGTCAATAAAAAGATGCCGATCTGCATCATACTGCACTTCCAGAGTCAAATCTGCTGGGGGAGCTGCCGGACGGATCACATAGTCCAAGAGACTCCCGATTGCTGGCCAGTTGATGGACCCAGCTACAACTTTTTCAAAGGTGTCTGCTACAGTTTTGGGGGAAAGGTAACCTCCCACCACACAGCGGTCCCAGTAGCTGCTCCCGCGAGGAAAGTACTCTGGGTTTTCTCGACGCACCAAGTAGAAGCCAGGAATGTTCATGATAGTGTCCTCCCCGGGGATACAGGACCACAGGTTCTGCTCCAGCATGAGAGGTACAATGAGCTGGATGTGGTCAGCTGTCACTACCTTTCACAAGAGAGAAAAGTCAGTAAGAATAAGCTTTCTCTCTCCACATTCATTTTATTCACCACCTTTAGATAGCCTTCTGTCCAAGGGAACCTGGAATAAGGATTCAGCTGTCTCGTGGGATTCCCAGCCTCCCTTTGTTAAAAGGTATTCTGAAGGACTATTTCCAACCATCAGTGGGATAATTCCAAGGTATAGCTGAAGCTAGTGCTTACGTGGTATGTACTATTTAGAGACCTGACATGGACTGCATATAGATGAATCATTCTGCCACATATTGCTTTAAATCTGCTCCTCGGTTGTGAGGTGCAGCTGGCCGAGGGCACGGCAACACCACATGACAATTTAAACAGGAGACAGAGTTTCAAGTTTCTTGACAAGCTTCTGTTGCCATGGTTTAATAATCCAATGCTACAGCTAGGTACACTGCCCTCACCTGGTCTGCCACACTGTTTGGAAAAAGGTTGTTAAAGATCCCTTTTCATCAATGTGATTAAGACCCCAGGTCTAATTTTCACTGGACATTCCATGCTCCATTCCAGAGCTCTGACTCAAACAAAGAAGTGTGCCTCTGAATCACTCACTATAGCCATGGGCATCTTGCCATCAGGGAGATATTGTAGCAGGGACTGCTGTCCAATCCAGGTCTGTCATGCATTAAAAAAAAAAAAAAAAAAAAAAAGGGTAGGAAAGACCTACGTGAATACATGGGAGTTCTAAGGGAATCTATTTGGATGGTTACAGAGGGATAAAGAGAAAACAGACATGTACCGGAGAAACAGCAAGAAAAACACAACTAAAAGAAGAGACAGAGGAGAAACAAAGAAGGACAAAACAAGAAAGCAATGGCTTTGCAGACAATAACAGAGCAGCCTGGTCATGCCTGTTCAAACAGCACTGTGGAAATCGACGCCTGGCTCCACAGTGGGAGAGGCAGCACCAGGGGCCTTATTACTGAGGAACGCTGTGCTGAGCCAGCAGCGCCACCAGGGAAGGCCGAAACGCCCGTGCGTGGTCAGCCTGCTGCCCGAGGAGCCCAGGAGTTACCTGCAGGTCGTCGTAGAGGCTGCCGCTGAGGTACATGTCCCGCAGGGGCATGTCGGGCAGCTTGGCGCGCAGGAAGCTGCGCAGCTCCGCGCAGATGTCCACGGCCGCCTGCTTGGCCCGAGCCTGCTCGTCCGCCGGGATCGCCACCCGCCGCCGGTAGTACGCCAGCAGCTTCTCCTGCAGCGACAGCCGAAGGCGGGACTTCTTCAGCTCCACCTGACTCCTCTTGGCAGATGGCTTGGCCTTTGTGGGTCGAAAGAAGTCTGCAGTACAGAAGGAGAACTGTTGAGGTTGCAGCTGATTCCGCTGCGAAGCGTTGCGCAGAACAGAATCTGCAGCACGGAACTGCGGCCTCCCGGGTCTCAAAAAGCCCTTGGCAGACATTTTGCAGGCTTTATGCAGCTACTGCTCCAAAGGGGCATGCTAAGGAACTTCAAAATATACTAGTAAGAGCACCAAAATGGATGAAAACAAGTTACTAGATTTGAAATTTAGCCAGACTAATATTGTGTACAAAGATGTAATTTTAATGGCTACGTGGGCAATATCTCAGCTAAATTTCATCAAAAATTCAGTGCTGTTACCAGTTCAAAAGCTTTTAGTGCGATGCCAGATCAGTGAATAAAACACTTTTGAACAACCACCATGATCTCTTCGAGTTTTTACCATTGAAACAGATTATTACAAATTACCAGCGAAACCCAGTCCTGACTAGCATATGAGATCAGAGAAGACTGTGCCACCTGGAAATGAAACAGTTGTTGGGAGTCTGACCAGCACAGTTATTAGGATGATGAGCTGACAGATCCTGGGACCATCCCAGCTCAGGCCATCATAGCTCCAGTGATACCCCCACTGAAACTTTCACTGCAAAAAGACCAGAGAGCCCACTCAGAGGCACACTGCAACAATGCAAGGTTTACATTGTATCTGCATTACTAAACAATATCTGACCTGCACAGATTCTCTGAGTCCCTTCTTTTCTGACTGGTTTCCCAAATAAATAAATCTATGCTTCCCATCCATTTCAGATTTCTCTTAACATGGACAAAGAGTTTCGGACATTAACAATGATAATTAAAGGGGAATTACAGATCTAAGAGAACTTTGGAAGGGCTATGATACCTAAGGGGCACAGGAGAAATCCCCAAGTCAGTGGGCCCGTTAAAGCAATTGGCTGTTGCCAATTTTTGTTTGATGATTTTTTTGATGATTTGGCCACACAGCACATGAGGAATGGCTGACCAAGCTGTACACAAAGCCATCTATCCCAGCCTCAGCAGCTGCTGTCTCCTGTCCCACTGGATTCTGGGACAGATTTGAGCTTTTTTCATGTAAAGGAAATAATGCACTAAACCATAGGGAATTGGATTTCCTTGCCTATTTATGAAAAAAATTATTCTTCCATCCTGAGTTTTAATTTACTTCTAATTGAAGAATTTAAGACACCATCATCAATGTTTTTATTACTCAGCCCATATGCTTGGGGACTCCAATCAAATCATCTAGACCCCATTTAACACAGCTGTCTAGTTTTTAATGTTTCCTCAGCAGAAAAAACTATTGCCATTCCAAAGACAACTTCCTTTAAAATAATCCGGAAATCAAGTTAATAGTTTGATTCTGATTTTTAGTTTAAATCTCCAATTATAAATCGGGGATAGAAAGTAAAACCATTGAGAACAAAGAACCAACCACACGTAACAAAACATGGCTGGATTCTAAATTACTGATTATCTCACCCAGAAAGAAAACTACAGGACACTTCCTATAGACTATTGAAGAAAAACACAGTGATAAGCAGCACTAAACAGGGAAATGTCGATCCAGAAATTATTTAGAAAATGGTAGCAATAATACAGAAAATACCGTTATAAACTGCTAGTACATTCACAGCTTGAATACTCCCCCCTTAAAAGGATGCAAGCAAACTGGAATGAGCCAAAGAAAGGCAGCAGAGTGCTTGAAACGAATGCAATAGCTTTCTATCAGGAAAGATTAGATATTCAGATTAAAAGAGCAAAAATTAGGGAGAATAAAGCTATGCAGTCATGAGAGGAATGAAGAGTGCAAACAGATGATCATTACTGATTTGTTCCCAGGGTCAGTTCTGATTCTTGAAGTTACCAGTGCACCTGCTTAAAAGAAAAACATAAAAATCCTAGCCAGACAGGGTATTTCCTTCTTCTGATTTCCTTCTTCTGCACTCCATTAAACAAATGCAGGGCTTATAGGCCTGGGTGACTGTGATGCAGGAGGATGACCATGCCTCTTACCAGCGTCTGCAGCTGAAGGTTCAGTGGGAAGGGTCTGCAGGGAGCGGCTGAGGCTGCTCTTCATGTCCTGGGTCAGCAGGCGTGAGGAGGAGCCCAGCCAGTTTGGCTCTTCCCAGCTTCTCTTTCCCGACTGGCCCAAGCGAGTGGGGCTGCTGGGAGCGCTGATTGCCCGGTCGTACATCTAAAGCGGGAAGGGTTTGAGTCACCGAGGGGCCAACGCTGCCATCGTACCCAGGCCACTGCGGGCACCCCGCTCCCGGAGCCGTGCCCGGTGCTGGCCGTGGCACTCCCTCCCTCATTCCCTCGCTCACCCTCTTGACGGCCAGCGTGGCGATGCCCAGCATGGCGGCGCCGCCCACGCCCAGCACCAGCCGCGCGTTGGCCAGCACGAAGTCGATGGCGGTGCCGATGCCGTTGTCATCCTTCTTCCCTCTGCGCTGCCCAGCGCCTGCCATCTCACCTGCGAGGGACAGGAGGCACAAAATGGTGGTTCACCCCCTCCTCCCACACCTCCCACCCGCTGCTGCCCCAGGCTTTACCACAGGAAGGGACCCAAATTGCTGCTTGTTCCCAGCAGTGCCAGGACAGTACTGACCAAGCAATGTCCAGTGCCTCAGGGAACACATCCAAATTTGAGGTGAAGTTTCTAATAATTGAATAGGTTTAATGAAAGAAAGCAAAATTTACTTCCACAGTGTTTTGCAATAAAATCCTGCATATTAAGCAAAACCTTCTAACTATTCTGGTATTTTTCTTATAATTTGTGCTTCCCAACCAAAGCACATCCAATTTATTTTGTAATTTCTAATGTAACAAGTGTGATTTTGCTTACAGACAAGGCAATACAGGGTTGGTCAACTGTCTGGCACAGAGTGGAATCTTCCCCAAGAAGTGACAGGCAGTCTCAGAGCTCCCATTCACAGATTAATTTCTGAACAGTGTCCCATCCCAGATACTTCAAAGACACCCAAGAATCAGCAGCAGAGACCGCAACACATCATAAAAGGAACAGCTCCTTTGCCTTCATTTGATGTTTATTCCTGCCCTGGAGGCTGGGGGGTTTGACTCTCAGCCAAATCATGTCAAACACTGACATGAATATTTTCTTACATGTATACTTTTGTGTCCTCAAATTGCCATTAAATGTGACCTTGAGATTTAAATTTAAAGAGTCTCTCAGACCCACAGGGCCTCAAGCTGTGCCAGTGATGGCTCAAGCTGGACATCAGGAGGAATTTCCTCACAGAATGGGTGATCAGACATTGGAATGGGCTGCCCAGCGAGGTGATGGAGTCACCATCCCTGGGGGTGTTTAACTTGGACGTGGCAGGCAGTGCCTTCTAGTCACAAGGTGGATATCAGTCAAAGATAGGACTCAATGAGCTCAGAGGCCTATTCCAACATCAATGATTCTGTGATCCTGTAAAACACACTTTACCATCACTGGTATGGTAAAGCCATAGGGGGATCCCCAGTGAACCTACATGAAAACCCCAAGAAACTCCTGCACTGTGACTTTAGGGCTGTTTTCTACGTCAGTGTCCAAGGCTCTGAGCCTGCCTGCCTGCCTGGGGTGGTTGAAAACTGCCCTTTGTTTTTTCTACAGTCAAGCCAGCGGGAATGTTCCTGCCTGGATGAACCAAGAATACATTCACTTGTCATCCCCAAGCAGAACAAACCCCACACTTTTGTAAAGCTCACTGTAACAGCATCATGAAGAACACGGTTATATCATTGTAAATGACCTACCTGTGACCTAATGCATTTGTGAAGAGAACAGGAGAGCCCTCCTGGTGTGCCTGTGGAAGCACCTTCAGGATTTCTTCAAGACAGTGGTGGGTAGTGAGTGTTAATCATCTCTTCTGGCGGGCGAGGGGATTTTGGAAAGAAGAGGGAGGTACTTGGGACCGGTGGGAGCTAGAGGGAATGGCTAAACCAGGCCCCCGAGGCTGCTCCGCAGGAAAGCCTGCCCCTTCTCCAGCTGCCTTTCCTTGTCCTCCAGCCGCTGCAGCCCCTGGTTCCGGCGGAACTCGCGGCGGATGGAGGCCAGGTAGAAATCCCGGTCGGTGTAGCGCAGGCCGCGGCCGCGGCGCAGCAGAGCCCGGTACAGAGTCAGCACCGCCTCCCGGGACCACGCGGCCATGGGGGACAGCTGTGCGGCGCGGGCGGGCGACCGGCAGAGGGGTGACCGACGGCGGGATCCGGGTCGGCTTCTCCCTCCCCGAGGGCCCCGCCGGCCGCCGCTCGGTGGCGGGCCCCGCTCGGTGCGGGGCCGCCTGTCCAACGGCGCGGGGTAACGGCCGGTGCGGGCCGCGGGCGCCGCTCAGCCCCGCGGGAGGAGCGCGGCCGCCCCGCTCTCACCGGCTGCGCGCGGGGCCGCTCCGGGCCGCTCCCGGGGTCACCCGGCAGCGCCGCGCTTCCGCTTCCGGGCCGCGCCCCCGTGCCCGCCAATGGCAGCGCCGGCGCCGCGGGCAGCGAGCCGCGCGGGCCTGGGGTGGCGGCGGCGCGGCGCTACCGCCCCCTGGCGGCCGGGAGGGAGGGCAGCGGCCCGCGCCCGGCCCGGCCCACCTCGGCAGCGCGGGATGCTCCGGCCGGGAAGGGCCCCGGCAGCCCGGGCTGCTGCTGCCCGGGGCTCCGTGTGCCGCGTGGGGCTTCGTGTGCCGCGTGGGGCTCCATGTGCCGTGTGGGGCTCCCGCTGCCCGGGGCTCCGTGTGCCGTGTGGGGCTCCGCGTGCCGTGTGGGGCTCCGTGTGCCTCAGCACAGCGCGCTCGCCCGAGAGGCAGCGTGTCTGCCGTGCGAATCGCGGATTCCGTGAGGTTGGCGAAGAGCTCTGAGGGCAGGGAGTCCAGGTTCTGACTGAACAACACCTTGTCAACCACATCATGGCACCCACTGCCACGTCCAGTCTTTCCTTAAACCCCTCCGGGCACCGTGACTCCACCAGCTCCCTGGCAGCCCATCCCTAATGTCTAATGGCCCTTTCTGCAAAGGAATTCCCCCCAATGTCCAACCTGACCCTCCCCTGGAAGAGAGCTGTGCATCAATGCTGCATCTCAAGGTACTTCTGACTTCTGGGATGCTTTTTGCAAACTAATTTATCAAATTCAAGCTCCTTTTCTTTATCTCCAAGGAACCCCCAGAGACCAAGGCTTGGTCTGGAAGCCTCAAGGCTCTAGGAGAAGGGCAGTAGCTGGCAGCCTCTCTGGGGTCTGCCTGAGCTGATGGAAGGAGACTCCCAAAGCTAGAACTTTTTGCTCCACTGTTCAGGTGTAAATCCCACTTTTCCATTCTCACCTTCTCTACTATGAGGCATCTCTGGGGCATATATATTTCTCCTTAGCCATCTCCTCCTCCCCAGGTCCTCCCTAAATATAAAACATAATGTGCTGTGCCTCCCCTGGAAGGGAGGGTGAGAGAAGGAGCAAATGGTGTGTAACAGAGGAGAGCCACATCACTTCACACAATTCTCAGCGACACCAGATATGACAGTGATAGAACTAAACAGGAAGAAAAACAGAAGCTCTGGACTGGCTCACTCCGTGCCAATCTCCTCTTGTTCATTTCCTTTCTGAGATAAACAACCCCAATCGTTTTGATCTCTCTGTGAGCGAATTTGCCATGCCCCTAATCAGCCCTTTCTGAGAAGGGCTTACTTGAACTGCAGACAGTATTCCCAGAGAGGCCGTGCTAGTCATTTACATAATAGCATTATCATATTTTCCATATTATTCCCTCCTTCTTCCTTCTGCATGCTAATATTTTGCATGTGCTTTTTTTTTTTTAACTTGCAGCTACTTTCAGAGCCAGGGTTTGTGTGACATCCATATTATTTCTTGGGTTGCTAGAGAACATCTGGAGCTTTGTAATTCTTATGTGCAATTTGTTTTCCCTCTTCTGACCTTGCACATATCCAGTTGATCCTTGGCAAATATGTCGTTCCCCATTTGCCACATTTGCATTTTACTCAGTCTTTTTTTATCTCCTCAAAAGTCAATAGCTTTGAGTCAACTTTTAGTAATGTTCGGTATATTGCTCATCTTTATTTCCAGATCATCAGTTCATATACTGGGCTATCCAAGACCTCAGAGGCAGCACTCACATTCCCTGCTCTTAACCTGCTGCCAGAATGAAAATTGATCTTTGACCCTCCTCCCAGCTTCCTGCCTCCTCCTTGGGTCGTTAATCCTCAGAAATACTTCCCTTCTCACAAGCAGGCTCTGTCACCCCTGGGCAGGTGTGCTGATCAGCCCAGTCCCCAAAATTCTCGAGTCTGGATCAAAACTTGAGCAGCCACATCAATGGGATAGTACTCCTCTGGTGTACTATCAATGGGATCTGCCAGGTCAGGCAGAGCAGTGATGGATTTCCCTGCTGCCCTCCTGCCATGGCAGCCAAGGAGTGCCACCTCCACAAGTGCCCGTCCCCAGCCCAGCCCCTTGGGTAGTGCCTCTTTTGGTGTTTCTCTCTGTTCTTTCCCCCAGGCTGGCTGCCAGCTCCCGGGCCCCTCGCCAGCAGCTGCGTGTGCGTGTTGGGAGCTCCTCCACCCACGCTGTGCAGCGTGTCCGTGTGCCCCAGAGTGCCCCAGCCCCTGGGGGACGTCACTCGCTGTGCCCGCTGCCCCACCGGGGCTGCCCACGCCTGCATTGCGGGGCAGGGCCCCAACCTGCCCCCAACCTGCCCCCAACCTGCCCCCAACCTGCCCTCAACCTGCCCTCAGCCTGCCCCCAACCTGCCCCCAGCCTGCCCCCAACCTGCCCCCAACCTGCCCCCAACCTGCCCCCAGCCTGCCCTCAACCTGCCCCCAACCTGCCCCCAACCTGCCCTCAGCCTGCCCCCAACCTGCCCCCAACCTGCCCTCAACCTGCCCCCAACCTGCCCCCAGCCTGCCCCCAACCTGCCCCCAACCTGCCCCCAGCCTGCCCTCAACCTGCCCCCAACCTGCCCCCAACCTGCCCCCAGCCTGCCCCAAACCTGCCCCCAACCTGCCCTCAGCCTGCCCCCAGCCTGCCCCCAACCTGCCCCCAACCTGCCCCCAGCCTGCCCCCAACCTGCCCTCAGCCTGCCCTCAACCTGCCCCCAGCCTGCCCCCAACCTGCCCTCAGCCTGCCCCCAACCTGCCCCCAACCTGCCCCTTCAGGAATAAGAGGACTAAGGCATCCCCTCCTGTCCCTCGCCTCCTTGGGGGTCTCTGGAGCTGCCACTCCTCTGCTGGTCTTCTCATGCTTGCAGCCAGTCCTCCCACTCAGGCAGCCACTGCCACAGGCTTTGATGGCCACTAAAACCAGCAAATGGCTGCCTCTGAGCCCAGCTTGCAGCCTCTGTTCCTGGGAGCCAGGTGCCATGCCCAGGGCTTCCCACCACCTGTTCTGCAAGGGCAGCACCATTCCCAGCCAGGGAGACATCCCTGTGCTGCCTGTCACCAGGCAGTAAACCCTCCCTGGGCAGCAGGGAGGTGAATGTGAGCCTCAAAGCTGCAAATGGCATCTTGGAGAGGCTCTGCAGGGATGGGAAGCAAACTGTGCTTGGAAGCAGAAGGCTGGTCTCTTAGAGGAGCCAGAAAGAAGTTCTAAAATATGAGGGGGAAGGTGGATAGTGACCCACCAATGGTATCTGAGCTTGAGCTTAACATCTTTAGTATCTTCTAGTAAATGGACCTCATAGGAGGTTTTGGCAGTCTCAGCCCCGTTCAACAGCTCTCTCTTTAGCTGCAGCTCTGTTTCTTTACTTTTCTTGAGCAGTTGCAAGGATTAATGGCATTTGAGATGCTGCTCTCCAGCTGTGACAAGCCAAGAGGGGCGGAGGCACAAGGGTGGCACTGGTGGCTTCATTCCCTGAAGCCCCAGCAGCTTTGATGCTGAGTGCATGTGGGAAGGCAGGTGGTGAGGGAGGAGAGACCACTGATACACAGCCACCTTTCAAGGGGCCTCCCTGGTTTAGAGCTGAAACCCACCTTGTAGTAGGGACAGTAAATATCTGACCTGGGCAGCCATGCTCAGGCTGTGTTTTTGACAGGGGGAAGAAGGGGAAGGTCCCAGCCTTGCTGCAGCTGAAGTGGGGCTTTCCAGACCCCCAGCCTTCCATCCCTGCAGTGCAGGGGGCTGCAAACACCATCAGCAGTGAGTGGTCTCCTGTGTGAAACAGAGCTGCTGTCCCCATGAGGGGCTGCACTGACAGCCACTGAGGAGGCTCAGCTTTATTACCTAACACATTTTTTTATTACCTAACACATATTCCTTCTGTAGTACTTTTACAATCGGCCTGTGCCCACCTTCAGTCCCAGCACAACTGTGTTTCTACAAACAAATTTCTCCATGGCTGGGTTTGTTGGGGACTTTTCTCATTATTCCCTGACTGGTAAGATTCCATCCCCCGGCCTCCCCCTCCTCATTTTTCCCTTTGCACCAGCTGCATGCTGCAGGAGGTTTACAGAGCCATTCAGAGACCCTGCTTTTGTGAGTGCTGTTGTCCTTGCAGTCTTGCATCCCTACGGCAGCCCCTGTTTTCTGCAGGGGAAGTGTCAGCAGAGAGCAGAGGGCTTGCAGCTGGTGGTACCACCTGCCTGAGCTGAGCTGCACATGCTGACCTCAGGCTTTCTTGTGCTCCTTCACCTGCTGTGTGCTGGGATGAGGCACTCTCAGCATGAACATGGGATTTTGGTTTGTGTAAGGATATCCTGGACTCCAGCATCAGGTATGGTTTGGTCCCATGTACATACAGACCACCTGAGAAGGGCATGGCTGCTCTATCTTTCTGCTTCTCTTCTTTTTCTAAGCAAAGGCACCAATTGCACACCTTGCCTAAATAAGTCACAGGCTCTTAGATTTGTTTTTGTTCCATTTATCTGGTTTTGGTTTTGCTGTGGTCTGACATTCATTTCTGGGTAACAGTTTGAGATAAAAGCTTTAAAAACACTGCGAAGCAAAAATAAGTGGGTAGATGTTTTCTACATTCTTTTATTTTTGTGTGTATGCCTGGTTCTTAGTAAGTGTCTGAGGGGAAAAAAATATATATAACTGATGATTTCTTGCTCTCTCTTTGGAAAAAGTCCAGACTGTAGAACAGGGCTAAAATGCCAGGAAAGAGTTTGCTGCATAGAGGCAGGCTTATGTTATTTTATTTTATGCATTCCTTGGATAACATATTTTCTCTAATTTCAGATCCTGGAGAAGTCATTTTAGATCTTTATTCAGTACAGCTTATTTGCTCTTCTTCTCAGTTTTCCTTATT